TTGGCGGGTCCGGGCTGGGGATTCGAACCCACCACCCTAGGTGTACGTGGCTGGCGCCCTAACCGCTTGAGCCACAGGCGCCGAGCCCAGAGCTACACTCTTAACTAACTGTTCTCATTAATGAACCTTGTGATTTTCTAAACAGAGACGGGCCTCCAAATATCCTCATCTAACAAAAAAAACAAGATACAACTTACGCTGTGCTACACTGATAGTCTCATGCAAATGCTCTTTTTATTCAGAATTATCTCTTACTATGTAAGAATGAAGTAGAGGACAGTAGAGAAAAGGGTTCTCAAGATGTTTATGAAGGCTCAAAATAGGCAGAAAAGGTTCAAAAGGTTGGGATACAAATTCAGAGATGTGAAAAAAATTGTCTACACAATTATAAATACAATTTTATAATTATAAATTTATATATTTTATAAATTATTGGGACAATAATTATAATTTTATAACTATAATTATATTTATTAATATAATTAATTATTATTGTCCCAATACAACTTCTTCTCTTCCCTGTCCCATTCTCTCTTTCTCTCTCTCTCTCATATTATATATATCTCAGCTTCCCTTTTGGAAAAGAATTACAAATGTTATACAGCAAAAAGTATGGAAAAAGAAATATAAATGCACCAGGATGAGCTGACAGGAGTGAGATTCCCCTGGATCTGTGTGGCTGATGAGTGTAATCGGAGAAATGAACTAGGCATCCTTGCTGCCACCAGCAAGTTCTCAGCCTGTCAAGTATAAACACCCGTCTTTCGTGTTCAGCTCCTGCCCCCATATACGCTCCCGACACTGGATAAGATTCTCCCATCTAAATTACCCTCCTGCAGGAAAAAAACATATTGATTCTCTGAAGTTGGAAAACAGCAATTTCAAAACGACAGCTCATTATGTCAGCAGAGAAGAGATACCTGGCTCCATAGTTAAAAATCGCAGAATTGACTCTATTTATACAGGTACACACTCCTTAGATTTTATTTTCTATAAATTGTAGACCAAACAGTGCTTCTATCCATTTTATTTTTCTTCTGTTTTTCTTGGGGACCTGATTCAAAAGTCAATTCTCAGCTTGAATGCAGACAATTTTAAAGGTCTATTTATTCAGCTGAGGATCGACACTGAGGGTTTGGTTTCCCTCCCCAGAGTCAAGAGAAACTGCGCTTACAGTCACATCAGGCCCCTTCCTTACGTCCCCTTTATAGCTGCGTCTGCATTTAGACATGCTCCAGGAAAGAACGCAGGGGAACACAGAATACTGCGCCAGGGAAAACAACACAGTCATGTTCTTTTGTTTGTTTGTTTTTGCAGTTTTTGGCCAGGGTCAGATTTGAACCCGCCACCTCCGGTATATGGGGCTGGTGCCCTACTCCTTTGAGCCACAGGCACCGCCCCACATTCGTGTTCTTAAAAGTTCTAACCTGATCTATATTTAGAGAGAATTACATAGCTTTTTGTTGAAAGGCTATGTATAAAAATTAAAGTGAAGCTATAACTTTAAATTATAGAATATCATCAAATCTTCTTTTGTCTGTAGAAAGAGGAACATTCAGAGTTACCTAAAGGTTTAAATTACATAAGATTAGGGTAAGACAAAACATTTCCTTAGTTTCGTATCATATCATAACTAGCTCAATAAAGCATCGTCTATGTCTTCAGGGAACTACTGGAAACAAATAAACAATCCTCTGAATTGCTGCTATCTGTGCAATGAATGCTTTTATGGAAATGAAACCGATTTGCTACTTTAGGCAGCTCCCATGCTCTCATATCCATAATAATGTCTATTCGGTTTAGTTAGCCAACCTTATTTTACAGATTCACAATAGGTAGAAGACGAAGTAAGGACATTTTATTGGATTAAGTAATTACTGCTAATTCAAAACAATTAGAAGGAAAGCGAAGGCCAATATTTCCATGATGAACTGACGTTTGCGGCATATGGTATCTCAGTTCTTTACAGACTGTGCGAAGAACTACCCAAGGAATCTGGCAGCTTTAGAGAAAGGAGGGTGAGGAGGTGGAACAGAACTCAGCAGGCAGGCAGTAATGGAAGCCACGGGTCTTCAAAAGACAGGATTCCACGGATAAGGCAGTTTAAAATCCCCAGATCTCAGAGAAGAAGAAATAGAATGGTCATTACCAGTGTCAGGGGAGGTGCGTGTGCGGGAAGGAGTGGGAGTAAGAGAGGGTGGTCAACAGACAGACAGGAGTAAGTTCTGCTATGTGACAGCAGCATGTGGTACCTACAGTTGTATAGACCGTGCATTTCAAAATAGCCAGGACAGAGGACTTGAAGGGTTCTTGATGCACGGAAACTATAAATGTTGGAGGCAATGGATCTCCTCAACCCCTCACTTGATCGTTACACATTCTATGCATGTAACAAAATGTCACATATTCCCTTATATAGGTACAAATATTATGTATCCATAAATTTTAAAGCAAATTAACAATCAGCTATCTAAAAATAATTCCCTAAGTTGTACCATTTTCAATTAAATTCAATACAGGGCATACAGATTTGAAAAAAAAATAGAAACACCTTTTATCTTTTCAGTATAAAAACAATTACATATCCTGAGATTCAGATAGTTTATTTCCATAGGAGAGGCAGATGTACTAAGCATTTAATTCCATGTATGAAGTAAAAAAGAAACTCATTTAGGAAAATTAACTTAGTATCCTATTGAGATTATGACTATCATCAGAGAAGTGTAAATCAAAAACCACCTTGAGGGCAGCGCCTGTGACTCAGTGATAGGGTGCCAGTCCCATATACAAAGGATGGCAGGTTCAAACCCGGACAAATTACAACAAAAAATAGCTGGGCATTGTGGCAGGTGCCTGTTGTCCCAACTACTCGGGAGGCTGAGGCAAGAGAATCAACTAAGCCCAAGAGCTGGAGGTTGCTGTGAGCTGTGACGTTACAGCACTCTACCAAGGGCAACAACGTGAGACTCTGTCTCTAGAAAAAATAAAAATAAAAACAAAACCTTGACCCAGTGGGAACAGCCCACAACACTTAACCCCATTGAGAACAGGCCACATCACAAAGTCTCAAAGCTGCAGATGCTGGCGTGGGTGCAGAGAGAGGGGAATACTCATGCACTGTGGGTGGGGCTGCAAACTAACACTGCCTTTTTGTAAATAACTATGGAGAATCTTCAAGGAGCTAAAAGTAGAACTTCCATTTGATCTCACAATCCCATTTCTACCCCAGAATAAAAAAAACAAAACACTTTATCCATTCAAATATTGATGGCAGCTCAATTCACAGTCGCAAAGAGCTGGAAACAACCCAAGTGCCCACCAACCCATGAATGGATTAATAAACTGTGCTCTATGAATACTGGAGAATACTATGCACCCATAAAAGATGGGGCTTTGCATCTTTTGTACTTATTTGGATGGATTTGGAGACCATTCTCCTCAGTATCTGAAGAATTGAAAAGCAAGCATCATATGTACTCAGTACTAATCTGAAAATAGTAGAACAACAACTATAGGCCCCCAGGAGAGAAAAACACAGTTAAGTTCAAGAAGGGGAAGGGGGATGGGGCTCGGTAAGTTCACATCTATTGGGTACAGTGTAGGGGAAAGGACTTCCCAGGTGAAGGACTCAGCTACAACTTGGACTTTGGACAGTACCTTACAAACACAAATGATGTAATACATGTTTGCATATACACCTGAAATAAAAAATTAGTTAATTATTTTTAAAAATAAGTCTGAGATATCATCTAACCCCACAGAGAAAGGCTCACTACATTAAGTCCCAAGACAACAGATGCTGGTGTGGATGCAGAGAGGAAGAGCATGTGCACACTGTCGGTGGGACTGCCGACCAATGCAGCCTCATGGAAGGCAGTATGCAGGTTACTCAGAGAGCTAAAAGTGGCCAATTGATCCCGCAACCCTCTTATTACTAGGTATTTACACAGAAGGAAAAAAAAAAAAGGGTTCTATCATAAAGACACTTGCATATGAACGTTCATAACAGCACAATTCACAATGACAAAGATGTGGAAATAGCTCAGGTGTTCTTAAACCCAGCAATGGATTAATCAATCGTGGCATATGTATACCATGGAATATTATTCAGCCATAAAAATGGATGGGGATTCCTCACTTTGCAACAACCTTGGTAAAATTGGAGACCATGTTCCTAAGTGAAGTATCACAAGAATGGAAAAACAAACATCACAGTTACCCAGTACTAAAGTGGAACTAAGAGATTAACACCTACCTGTGCACATCAGAGAAAAATTCAAGGAAATTCAGTCAGAGGGATGGGGTGAGGAGAGGGTGGGGGTTGGTTAAATTCCCACCCAATGGGTACATTGCACAGGTATATGGCCCGCTACCTGGATGTGGGACGCACCTACAAA